ACTTATTTACTTATTTACTTAATTATTTACTTACTTATTTACTTACTTATTTACTTATTTACTTACTTACTTACTTACTTATTTATTTATTTATTTACTTATTTATTTATTTATTTAAACCTGAAAGACAACTTCCTGCTGTTTAAGATCTGCTGTCTCACCCTGAACTGTGAACAGGGGTACGAGAAGAGGTGAACCTTCCCGAAGTCGTCCCCGGTGGCCAGGAGGCTCCCGTCGTTGGACCTGCACGCCGCGTTGATGTCGGTACCGTCTGACCCGTCGGGCCACAGGCCTGATGAAAACAGCAGAGGTGTCTGCTGAGTCAGCGTTACAGCTGAAAACATAATCTGAGTCGTCACTCACCGAACACCTGGAAGCCCAAAGTGCAAGTGTAGGTGGCCCAGTCGATGTCCCTGGTGGTCTCCACACTGACCACCTGCTTACACACTGATGGGATCCCTGAAGGTGGGGAGAAAATCCACAGTTTTATCTCWCTGAGGTAAAATTGGTTTGATTTTAAAAATACTCGAATATTTTAAACCCCAGTTTCATTTTAAACATCTACTTGGGTCAAAATCACAAAAAATTTTACATTTACAATTATAACAGGTGAGACCTAAATTTTATTTAGAGTTTTGACAAATAAACACAAGGTTGTAGCTTATGTCTGTGTTTGTCTGTCTGTTAGTAAAATATCTCATAAAACACTGGACAGATTTGAACGAAGCTTAGCCGACACAAAAAACGGTTCAAACTTACAGTACAGTATCTCATAGTCGCCTGAATTTGATACCAGGTACTGGGAGTCCACCGACCAGTCCAAATGAGTAATGAAACTGGAATGACCCTGATCAAAATAACAAAAACAAACAAACTGTTAATAAGACAACAAACGTCACACAGTTTGTATGGAGAACCAACACTGTCTTAATTAAAATAAAAATATAAATGGCCAGTAAATAAACAAATACACTGAAAATGAACCAATTAATTTAAAAATGGAGAACTTTACCTCATGTTTTATTTAACTGGTACATTATTTAAAATTTACTGTGTTTAAAAATATATATATTTGTTTTTTCTTTTTCGTGTAGATTCATTTGTGTCTCTTTATTAATTTTTTAAACAGTTTTTTTTAATTTAAGTATGGAAGTTGTATTGAATGACACAGTGGTGTGTAACTCAAATGTGTAAAACTAAAAGAAGGAACAATACAGAACAGAATGAATGAATGAATGAATGAATGAATGAATGAATGAATGAATGAATGAATGAATGAATGAATGAATGAATGAATGAATGAATGAACTCACCGAACACTTTCCAACTCGGCTGTATTTCCTCCCGTTTTCTGCCACAGCGTAGACGTAGATGTAGTTATCGTGGGAACCGATAGCCAGGAAGTTACCGTCTAAAGGAGAAATGCAACATTTGAATGAATAATTTATAACCAGAGCATCAGGCATACTTCAGGAGAATTTAAATCAAACACATTAAAACATGTTTTATTGTTATTTGCAATGATATAACTCTGAAAATCCTCTTTTGATTTGGTMTTTTTACCGCTCATCAGGATCTGCAGACACTAAAAGGCAGACAGAAGAAGCTCCTACCTGGCCCGTAGCGCATCACAGACAGCTGTTCGTTCCCATCTGTGTGGACGCTGACTAAATCCTTCGAGTCTGTGTCGAGCACCTGCCACCTGCAGGATCAGAGACAGACTCGGCTTCAGATTAAGCTTTAAACTAAGCAGCAATGCATGCTTCATATATCACAGTATATTATATTATTATTGTATTTGTACCTGCCAGTTTGAGTCCCGATGGCAACCACAGCTCCTGATGGGTGAAAACCTGCTGATTGGGCTGTATCCTGTTTTAAAACATAAAGAAAACTCACTTTATTCAACAATATGTTGAGTTTTTTATTTTTATTTAAACGGCACAGTTCTTGCCCTCAAGGATAAATAATGCTCCTTGAGGCCAGTTGATCACTTGTAATTTTCCATAAATTACCCCAGGGGGCGATGTTGGTCCAACTTACCTCCAGACTTTTAGTCCAGATGAGCTGATGGGTGCTGGAGTCCCACAGACAGACCTGCCTGTCGTAGCCACAGGTCAGGAACTGAGACTTCCTGGGATGGACGGCTAGACCCCACAACTCATCGATGTGACCCTGGAGAGAGGATTTGTTTGTTTTAAAACAACTAAAACCATTCTATATTTCATTAAAAAAAAACAACAAAGAAGCAAACCTTAGACTCACACCTACCTGTGTAATAGGCAGGAATTCTCCATCCAAACTGCCTTGTAAGACAAAGTTCTTGGTTGTCCCGATGAGAACCGTCTCCCGTCTCCCCTCAGCTATGGTCCTGATGGGACCGAACAATTCAGGCACCTGCAGAGACAGAGAGTGCACGCAGTGCCATCTGACCTGTCCCTGATGTGATGTTCATGAAGCAAATAAGTCATGAATAAACCACAAGAACAGTCACCATAAATAAGTAGAAATAAATAATAAAATATGTTTATTACACTTTTCAGTTAACCACGTCACCATTTTGCTAATTACTCGATGATAGGTTACAACTGAGACTAAATTACAAAGAGTTAAAGTATGACAATAAAGCAATGAATTGAATTAGTTTGGAGCTGACGCCATTTATCGCCACATTAGCTTGGAAGCTAACATGAAAGCTAAAACACTAAAGCTGAGGTTCTCCTTCCATGAAGCAGCTATATTGTCCTCCATCATCATTTTCAGCTTCAGGCCGAGTCGTTTCTACCTTCTCCTCTCAATCAACCAAGTTCCAGTTTCATTTAAAGAGGCTGACCGTCAGACACTGTCCAAAATTAACCTTCAAGCTGGATAGAGCTCGCGCCAGAGGACCAATAACTGTCATTTACCCAGAATGCTTTGCAGCTTAAATAACACAATGTGTCATTATTGTAACAATATTTATATATAAACTAAACAGCCTACAGTATTTTTAAAGTCTGGTTTTAACAGCTGAAGTGAAGTTTTAACAGCAGGACTAATACATCTTATCTGTCTAATTTGAGAAAAATAAAGCAGTTTTGCTTGCTGACCTCCACTACTTGTATCTGCTGGTAGCTGGTGTCCCAGGAAACGAGCCTGCGGTCCTTCCCTCCAGACACCAGCGTGCCATTCCTCAGCATGCACAGAGCGAAGATGCTGCCCTCGTGAGCTCCTGGGATGACGTGGCTGATGCGATTAGTGCCTGCAGTGATGGAGATGAGGCGAGAGGGAGGAGGGCACAGAGGTGGACCACTTAAGGAGGACAGATTAATTAACTGAGACAAACAGAAGCATAATCAATGGATAAAAACACAGAGAGGGGAAGAGACGTTTCTTCTCCCTTTAAAGCTCTTCTCACAAGATTTATTTTTAGACTGACCTCTCGTCTCCTGACTACTCCTCCATCGAGAGATCATTTCTGACCTTGTGAACACAAATATTTACTTCTCTGGTTCTGTTTGATGTTTATTTTAAAACCTTACCAACACACCAGTATGGAGGACCAAATCTGACATAATTAGAAATAAAAGCAAAAATATATCAATGGACCAATAAAATAAATAAATAAATAAATACACTTAAAATGTACCAATAAAATAAATAAATAAATAAATTATATATATATATAAAATTCTCTCACAAGTCTTTATTTCCATGTTTTGCTTTTACATTTCTCGGTCTCCTGTATTTACACTTCTGTATGCATTTCTGCTTTGTTATGTAAATAAGGTGGGCGGTCCTTCTTGGGTCTGCTCCTCTCCTATTGGTCAATAGACAGGAAGGAGCAGGATCCATGTGCAGATCCACTGTGCATGCTTGTGCTGCCTCAGTTTAAGGTTTGGTTAAAAACTTTTGATGGAAATAGGCGCAGATATTACAAGATTTTTTTTCTTCCTTCTGCTGCCTTTCATTTTATTTTTCATTTGTATTTTTTTTTTGTATACTGAATTTGCTTTGTTTTTAAATGAATGAATAAACTAAACTTTAAAAAGAAAATCAAGGTGGAAAAACACTTACCTGTACCTTTATTTTTAATTTAACTTTTAGCTAAACTGAGGCAGCACATGCATGCACAGTAGATCTGCACATGGATTCTGCTTCTTCTTATCTATTAACCAATAGGAGAGGAGCAGACCCGGGATGGACCGCCCACCTTATTTGCGTAACGAAGCAGAAATGCATAAAGGAAATGTAAATACAGGAGACAGAGAAATGTAAAAGCAACACATGGAAATAAAGACTTGAGAAAAATTATAAATAAAAAATATGATAATTTAAGAGACACAGATGCATCTGAATGTACAAGGAAAAACAAAAAACAGTAAAATTTAAATTATGTTGTAAAATATGTAATTTATTGGAACTGTGCTGGAAAAATTAATATGAAGGTCAATTAAATTATAAAACATGACCTAAAGTTCTCCTTTTTAAAATGTAATTGGTGCATTTAAGAGTATTTTTTTTACTTGTTTTTCCACTAATATATTTCTGCTTTTATTTCTAATTATGTTAAATTCGGTCCTCCATACACTGGAGCATGACAAGACGACTTTCAGTTACCTTTTCCCCACACCAGGATGTTTCCGCTCGAGTCTCCAGTGATGGTGTCTCCATTTTCTGCAAAGTTCACACACAGCACAAACTTGGGCTTCTCTTGTTTCTGCAGCAGATACAAAAAACAAACAAACAACAACAAAGAAGTGGTTTAGTAGTTTTACATGTGTCTTGATGAAATCTGAAGCATCCTGTTTCGTTTTTTATCACCTCAAACAATCCCTGCTTCTTCACCAGCGTGCCTCCTTTCTCCAGGGTCCAGAAATACAGATGGGACTTGCCACAGGTCACTATGATGTTGCTGTCGGTGGGGTGAAAGTCTGCAGCGAACACGGACTCGTTGGAGCACTGAGCAGTCGCACAGAAAACAGAGTTCAGCTCAAACAGGGAAAAACCACCAGGAGGAGGTTAAAACCATATAAACACACAGACCTTAGTTTCAGCCAGTCTGTCCTCCCTCTGCCAGTCCCAGACCGAGAGGACGTGATCGTTGGAGTCATCGACGACACAGAGTGTGTTTCCTCCGTTCTAACGTCGTCAAACCAGGCAAGGAAAGAGAGACAGAGCGTGTCAGAAGACCGAACACTGACAAAGAACTGAGCAGAGACGGTCAGCTGTGTTTCCGTACCGACTTGGAGAAAGCCAGGCAGACGAGTCCTCGATCGAAGAAACCCGAGCCCAGAATGTGGAGAGTGTTGAGGCTGACCGAGTCCCAGACACGAACATGAGGAGCCAACTGCTGCCAGGAGACAGAGAAAAAAACAAGATGGAAACATCAGATCAGTTAAATCTGAATACGGTATTTAAACAAACTGAATAAAAAAGATCTCACTTACTTTCCCATCTGACGAGGTGCCTGCTACCTGCCCCGTTGCAATGGTGATTTTGTCAGGATGGACAGCCAGGCTGGTGAGGATATTCAATAATAAATAAATAAAACAGCTATAAGTCTTTTTAACATCAAAACACCGTTTTAATAGAGATGAGCAACATGAAAGGCTGTCTGCATCGATGCATGAGGGGAAATATGTTAAACATTTATTCTGTTTGAGGTGAAGTGGTCTGTCTGCAGACACCTTCTGATCCGTAAACAAACCTTTTCTTGACCTCTGGGGGGAAAAACATCGTAAAATGTGATTCTTRCCTCACCATTTGATGTCGTCTGTGTGTCCCGTGTAGTGTCTCTGCAGCTGCTCGTCCACGTTGAATAAAACCACAACGGAGGCGATGAAATACACGGTCTCCCCTGTGGGGAGCAGGTAAAGGTTGGAGCGACAGTCTCGACCACGGTATCCGTACCTGAGCATCAAGGGTCAAGGAGTTCAAGGGTTTCCCTACTGTTTTCAACTAAAACCAGCAGTTTAAAGTGGAAACAAAATAAAAATCAAAGCCTACAAAATAAGCACCATATTTCTTTTCCCATTTTTTACTTTCATCTGACTGAACCACAATCATCCACGAGCAACAAAAACAAAGATGCTCCAAATTGAAGCAACAAAAAAATAAAAGCACCAGAGGATCTGCTGACTGCTTGTGTCATCAGCAGGTTATTTCCGACTCCGGGCTGCAGAGATCATCATCATGATCATCATCACTGTGAAAAACCAGCATTTGAGCAGATCGACTCTGACACACAGAGAGAAACCTTTGGAGCTTTATCCCCAACCCCCATCACACTTTTTATTTCTGCAGAAAGCTTCCCCCTGCAGCGTGAAGCTTCAGGTAAAAAGGATACACCCAGTCCAGTTTCAGTTTGTTACTGGGCAGCTCTCCTCTGGACTCCAGGCAGTAGCTCTCCACTAGGTCTTTGGGCATGAACATGGTGACGGGGCGACCCTTCAAATACATTTTCACATAACCTTCCTCTAAAAGAAAAAAAAAGYGGATCAGAAACCATCAGTGAGACACAGATAACCAAAATGTTAGCTTCACTAACCGCTAATCCGCAAGCTAAAAAAAACAATTAACTTTGCAAATGGTAATCCTCTAAATAGGTTTTAAAAGTAGCAGAAGCTAATGCTAACTAATAACTTGTGCGTGGTATCCGTAAAAACATCAAAATCTTGGTTAAAATCTCACAAAATCGTTTCTCTGTCCACCAAGCAGTTGAATCGGCAAGTAACCAACAAGTTGGGCTGGAAAAAAACAGCTTTGGGTMGGTTGTTAAAATTTGGGCTGCTTTTTACCACATTTGCCAGGTTTTTAGAAAGTATTCATAAGGAAATTKTATCAAAATATCAAGCGTCACTACAAAATCTCGGTTAATGTCAACTGTAAACACAGCAAAGAGAAGAGACTGGGTAGAATCTGAGGACCTACTCCCTCCTTCTGCAAAACGAGGGCTATTAGTTGACTTTTCTTATAAGCTTGCACCAAACATTTTACCCACCCCCATCTGTTTCTTTAAAAGTTTTCATTCTAATAAGTGAGCAACAGAAAAAATGTAAACACTGATTCAATGCAGATGTGTGCTAATGGTGTATTTTTTATTTGTGTAATTAACACGTAGGCCATATCAGTAATCTAAACTTTTTTATATTGCACATACAGTCAGAGGTTGAGATTTGGGCCTTTATGTGTGTGTGTGGTTAGGTGGGTTTTACATTGCGTTTGGGTTGGACTGTGTCAGTCCAATCTGACAACCCTGTGTGGGATCCACAGAAACATCAAAATATTGGCTAAAAGCTCATTAAAAACAGTTAAATCAGCAAGTTGGACAAAATGACATAAGTAGTTTATCAGCGGACTAATTAAAGTTAGCAGAACTAAATTTAGCAGAAGTTAACTAGTACGGTAACATTTTTACAAAGTTAGCGAAATGCTAATTCACTTAGCAAAAGTTAGCTTAGCTATTAGCGAAACTGTGACCACCACATCCGCTAACTAAAAATCAGTTAGGTTTGCAAACGCTAAACCACGAAACAGGGAAGAAAACTGGCAACAGCTAATCGCTAACTCAAGATCTTTGTGTGATTTCCACAGAAATGTCAGAATCTTGATTAAAAGGGAAAAACATTTCTACGTTCAAACATGTAAAACCACAAGTAGTTTAACTGGACGGTAAACAAAATGCACAGAGACAAAAACAGTTCATTAGCTTACTCAAATTTAGCAGGGCTAAATTTTGCGAAAGCTAATTGGTCCACTAACATTTTCTATAGTTAGCACAAATGCTAATCAGCCAAACGAAAAATTAGCTTTGCTGTTAAAAGACTGTGCCCCACCACTGGATACAAGTGAAAATGACATTTTCAATATGAAATGATTAATAGGAATGATAACAGTGGATTATGATATGATTAAGGGATAAAGGAGTGATGTGAGAAAATGTGATTCGTTTTAAATAAAATAAGAAAATAAATAAAATAGAACTTGCCAAGACAAAGGTTACTTTTTTAAACTCACTTTTATTAGTTAATTTTAAAATCACAGCTTTCTGACAACATAAGACAAAGCTGAAAACGCGTCAACTCATCAATACATGAAATGCAGACACAAGCAGAGCAACAAAAAATAAAACCTAAAAAATAAAGCATGCAGAAAACAAAAACACACATTTCAAAAACAGCAGATGAGGTTATTACTTTAAACGATTAAACCTATTAGTGAGCTTTTATGATGGAAGTGACATAAAGCCACAAATGTGACTGTACAGAGAAGTGAGAGCTGTTTTATTGTGTTTTTATTCTCTAGTAACAGATCTGGAAGTACTGGCTGGGGGATTTAACAGGGCTGCGGTAGCTGGGAGTTTCGACAGGAGATGACAGACTCCCTGACTTCCTGAGCTGCAGGCTACAGTTTGGGACCTGTCTGATCGATGACACCCTGACGGCACCGCTCCTCCTGCACTGGCTGCTCTCTGAGCCCTGTTTGGTGGTTGAAGGAGTTGTTAAAGCCAAAGCTGCAGGGCGGCTGCTGCTGCTCCCTGTCTGTTTGGTGGAGCGGCTGAGGTGAATCTGTACTGTGACTGTGATGCAGGTGGGCGGGGAGGCGATGATGGAGACGAGCAGTAACGTGAGGGGGGGAAACAGGAAGGGCGCACAGGGAAAAAAAGTCAAACGTTAGATCCATGTTTTTGTGTGTAAGTGAGTGAAATGCAAACTAGGCTAGAAGAGGGGAGGACTATAAATCACTAGCATGTTGCTGGGAATCGTTGTAGTCTGAAATATTGTGACAAACCGGAGCTTGGAGTAAAAACTGTTCCCAATCGTAAAAAGAGTGGCTGACTAAAGTTGACGTTAAAAAAAAAATCTGCTGATTGTGATCCTGCACCTCCAAGACTCACCTAATAAGGTCATGTTGTGTCTCCTTAGAATAAACGTGATTTATAGTTTAAAATTTAACAAATACATATATTTTTTCCCTTTAATTGGCACCAAATTTCACAGCTGTATAATAGGAGAGAAATTTAGAAAAATGTATGTTTTTAATGTCCTGATGCATCTCAGTAATCCAGGTWAAAATTCAAAAGGAAAAAAATTGTATAGGTCCTCTGGACGGGTTAAAATTAAAGCCCAGGAAGTCCAACATTTCACTGATCACATCAACTC